TGGTCTTAGGCGACCCCTGTGAAAGGGTCTTTCGACCTCCAAAGGGGTCGCAACCCACAGGTTGAGAACCTCTGCTCTAGCTCCTGCTATCTCCAAAGGACCACTCTGTTAAGACAGGCTGGTTGCAAATCAAATCCTGTGATTCAGGGCTGGCCATGATTAGCCACTTTAAGGGAACACCTGCCAAGAAGAATATAATTTCCCAAATTGGCAATGTTTTAAACCTGGGAGACTAAAGAGTGGGTGCAAGCACTATCATTTCTAAGGTTTTTTAAATTATTATTGTTATATTCAGTAACTGAGCATAAATAGCATGTTGCTGAATTGGGCTGTAATTCTAGGGAGAGTCACTGACCACATAAACCACAGAGGTAAAGATCAGAATTTAATTTAAACCTGGTGATTATATAGGACTTGGAGGACCTGGGTTTAGGAAGACAGTAGTAGGAAAGAGGAGGGAAAAGAGTACTATGGGAAAGAAAATAGAAACTATCCCACTCATGGAGAATGCCTTGTCATCTAAAATTATTTTTAGGTTTCTGAGTTTTAAACAATCTTTCTGGGACTATTTTTAATCTTAGGGTTTCCAAATCTTAAATTTGGAGATCAGTCTCATGCTGCTGTCTGCGCTGAAAGAAGCATCTCAGCATCACATTTCAAAACATAAGGCCAACTCAATCCGCGTTAACGGAGGCAGTTTGCAAAAGCTGAGGCTGCTGCTGAGGAAGTGGGAACAGGGATGTCATTGCTGCCTGTGTCAGACTTAAGTCCTTTCAAATAATGGGTTTGGCTCTTTGCTTGTTTCCTCCCTCTATGAATATCTATGTTCATTGAAAAAAAATTAAAAATACATACAAGCAAAAGAAAGGGGAGAAGATCATCAGTAAGCCCATCACTTACTGGTAAATGTCCTTTCAGGCTCTTTAAATGTCTATCTAACTATCTCTCTTTCTCTTTCTCTCTCTCTCTCTCTGTAAATGGTAAGTGCCATGGACAGGAAAACAATTATATATATATACTAGAGGCCTAGTGCACGAAATTTGTGTCCCTTAGCCCGGCCTGCACATTCTTGCAGTATGGGAGCCCTCGGGGGATGTCCAACTGACACAGAGGCGGGAAAGGCTCCCGCCACCACTGCTGTGCTCGCCAGCCATGAGCCTGGCTTCTGGCTGAGTGGCACTCCCCTTGTGGGAGCATATTGACCCCCAGGGGGCAGCTCCTGTGTTGAGCGTCTGCCCCCTGGTGGTCAGTGCACATCATAGCAACCGGTTGTTCTGCCATTTGGTCAATTTGCATATTAGCCTTTTATTATATAGGATATATGGGATAATTCTGGATGTAACATACATATAACTTGCTTTTCATTCAACAGTATGTCAGTACATATATATCTGCATCATCATTTATAGATCTGCGATAATGTTTTTAACTAGCCCCCCTAATTTTCAATAATTTGCTGTTATAAGCATTACCCTGAATATCCTATCATCCATTGTTGTGCCATTATCTAATTATTTCCTTAAGATAAATTCCCAGGAGTAAAATTGATGGATTAAAGGGTATGTACATTATTAAGGTTTTTTATAAACCTATCAAAAATTGCCTATCATCTGTAAAAGTTGAGTTAGTTTATCCCCTCTATGTTCTAAGGATAACTGTTCTAGTCTATAAAAATGCAGCCCTTTTTTAAAAATAATCACAATCCTAAACTCAGGGCCTTCTGGTCTCACACTTCTGCATCCAGAGCAGCCACTCCCACTGCTTCCAGATGTGTGGCCAGAGCAGCCCTAACTCTGCTAAGTGCATTCTGTCCCCATGTCTCATTCTCATGCATGCACTCTTTTCTCTTCCAGAGTGAATTAGACGTATCCTTTTTCAATGCTGTGAGTCAAGCTTTCCATAGTATTTGGCAAAACACAGGCTAGTCTCTATCAGGTAAGTGCCATGGGCAGAAAAACAATTAGGCAGAATCTAGAATCCAAAATGCTAGTCATCAGTGACCAGAACATGAAAGCCAGAGGTACAGCTGCTTTGTAGAAACACCCGCCTTTTTTGCAAAGATAATTCTTAAGATTTTTGTATGTTTCAGACAAGGCAGTTCTGTGGTAGTAGTTATAATAACTGCTATATATTAATTTAACTTTTCTTAAGTATACAGGATAGACCTTTTTAGAATTTAAGTAACACAGGCAGAAAGTGCGTGGTCCTTGTAGAGAGAATGGATTTCATGGCTCCAGGTATAAATCTCCAGAAATTCCCCACATGGCCAGAATAAGGCTTCACGGGTGATAAACCAGAGGGTTAAAGAAGTTGCCTGGCTCATCTTCATTTCCTTTTATAGCACAGAATGCTCTCCTTCTCTTCTCCCTTTTATTGTATTTTTTCTAAATTTATCTTTATTATTGTAAGTATTACATATGTCCCTCTTTTTTCCCCATTGACCCCCCTTAATCCCATACCAGCCTCCCTCTCCCCTCCAAGGCCTTCCCACACTATTGTCTGTGTCCATGGTTATGCATGTATTCATATAAGTTCTTGTTAATCTCTCCCTACCTATCCCCCCACCCAGCCTTCCCTCTGAGATGCCACAGTCTGTTCCATGCTTCTCTATCTCTGGATGTGTTTTGTTCATCAGTTTGTTTTATTCATTAGATTCTTCTCCCTTTTAAACCAAAGTATCCAAGGCCCCAACAACAAGCATGATTTGCTTAGAATACTGCAGGCCTACGGACTATGGCAGGAGCCCACTAGGTATGTGTGAGTGCTCTGGAGGGAAATTGACTTTCAAAAATTTGCTTACCACTTGACAGCAATAATAAAAGAGTCCTTTGAGAACATATCAGGCTTAAATCTAAAATAGTTACACTAATTATAACAAATAGATATTAATTATAATGTGCTTATGTATATGTTGGTATACATACATTTAGACATGTATGCCCAGAGTCAGGATATTCTGCAGAAATAGCCATTTACCTTTAACTAGTGATAGAAAATGTCATCATGTTGATAAACTTCATTTTCAGGCTGTATTTGAAAGCCTCTTTAAATTAACTGGGAAAATCTGCATGCCCTCTAACGGTGAGTGACCTAAATCTAGGACCCCTTTGACTTAGGAGACCCGAGACCACGCTGTATATTAGCATGTAACCTTCCATTTTAACTCAGCCCTTGAAAGCAATTCAAAATAAATCTCTTCCTCCTTGTACAGGGGAATAAGAACTTGACTGTTTACTTCAAGGAAGAGAGTGAAAGCTGATAGACACTTCCCTGGGAATACAGAACCCAAGTTCCACTTTTGGTCCTACCACCAATTAGCTGTGTGTTGGACAAGGCACACAACCTCTCATCTCAAAATGATTGAATTAGACTAGAAGAGCTTTAAAGTCCTCAGCTTTAATATTTGATGTTGCTATGACTCTAGGTAACTGAGCTGAGTTACCTTACACCTGGAACAGGAGAGGAGAGTCCTACAAGGTAAGATATTCAGAGAATTAAAGTGAGTCAGATGTAACAGGATATGTAGTACAGTTGGCCTAGTTGTGTTGATGTGTCTTACATGTTGACTAGATGTTTATTAGAAGTAGAGATGGGTTTGTCTTTGGGTCCCTCTGGTGAATGGCAAAGGTCCATGTAATGAGCTCTAGCATTCTTGTTTGAATTTAATTTCCACGCTAAGGAACACAATTTGTATCTTTCCCCTCGTTTTATTTAGTTTCACTTTTGCCTTCTCTTCCTCTCTGACCTAATTACTTATTTACTGTCCTAAGGAGTTATTTAGGCATATCCATCTGACAGAATAGTAATTTTTCATCTTTTAGAGAAGAAAACTAAATCTCTCAAGTGTATGTCTTTGCTCTAGGTATCATTCATGGGGATCTCCAGTAGTCTAAAAGTGGAGTAGGCTGCAGGCCAGGCAAGGCCTAGGGCACTGTCTTCTATGACTTTTTTTTTTTAACATGTTTTTATTGATTTCAGAGAGGAAGGGAAAGGGAGAGATAGAAACATCATTGATGAGAGAGAATCATTGATCGGCTGCTTCCTGCACGCCCCACACTGGGAATCGAGTCCCCAACCCAGGCATGTGCCCTGATTGGGAATCGAACCTTGACTTCTGGTTCATAGGTCGACGCTCAATCACTGAGCCACACAGGCCGGGCTTCTATTGACATTCTTAAAGGGTTTTCACCCTCAGCCATCTGAAAAAAAATCAAATTAAAAATCTACGACTCTACTCTGTCTTGTCCATAGTTCTTTTTAACTATCAAATGTGCAGGGAGTACCGCTACACACCAGTTTCCTAACAGGAAGACCAGGGAGCCTTGTAGAGCGTCCTGTTTCCTGCTCTCTGTGTAGACCATAGACCCGCGGTTCTCAACCTGTGGGTCGCGACCCCTTTGGGAGTTGAATGACCCTTTCACAGGGGTCACCTAAGACCATCGGAAAACACATATATAATTACATATTGTTTTTGTGATTAATCACTATGCTTTAATTATGTTCAATTTATAACCATGAAATTGGGGGTCACCACAACATGAGGAACTGTATTAAAGGGTCGCGGCATTAGGAAGGTTGAGAATCACTGCCATAGACGATCTGCATCACTGCTCTGGTCACTAACCAGGAACCTGCTGGAGCAGTAAGCACTGTTGAGGTCTATTTGTACCAGGAAAACTTCCTTAGGTCTTGAAGGGTTGGAAACAAACAACTGATACCATTACAATCTGGAGCAGGTTCTTCCAACACTCAGAACACATGATCTTTCTGTATGCTCAGGCTTACGGAAGCCTTCTTTGTCAACCCAGAGCAACAGACATAATTTAGGCTCAGTTTTATGCAGCAATAGGAGAATGGAAGTCAGAATCTCAGGGAATTCCCAGAAAGTCCATGAGACCCTGCTTTTATAAGGAAAGTGTGCCCCATTACATACTTTGGTAAACTTATTTAAGACTTCAAATTCCATGAATTAAGATGGTTTTTTGGTCGCCGAAACCGGTTTGGCTTAGTGGATAGAGCGTCGGCCTGCGGACTGAAGGGTCCCGGGTTCAATTCCGGTCAAGGGCATGTACCTGGGTTGCGGGCACATCCCCAGTGGGAGGTGTACAGGAGGCAGCTGATCGATGTTTCTCTCTCATCGATGTTTCTAACTATCTCTCTCCCTTCCTCTCTGTAAAAAATCAATAAAATATATTTTTTAAAAAAAGATGGTTTTTTGGTCAATAAATAAAAATTAAAAAAAATTTTTGAAGATGGTTTTTAGGAATCAACTGATGAGCTTCCCAAAATGTGCTCCACTCTAGAGCCCCAGGTTTGCTGAATTCTTCAGACAACTTGTAATTCAAAGGAGCTGTCTCTACCGCCTTCTGCTAAATAGTCAAGGGGTGGCACCATGCACAGTGCTGTGTGGGAGATGTCCAGCTTCTCGATTCTGCACACCTACTGTATGTGCAAAGGTACAGAAAACCTTTAGCAGCCTTTGGCATTTGGTACCTTTAAAGAGGCTTAAAGACTTGGTTTATTTTAGCCAGAATGGAATGCATCAGTCCTGCCTTTGGACCTGGACAACTAGGGTCTTTTTCCTGGGCCCCCATTCTAGCCTTCAGCAGCATCTCTCTCCATGGGGTGAGGGTGCTTACCGAGAGCTTTCAGGGCCCCCCATCCATTTCTTGACTATCGTCCAACTACTTGGGTTCCAGAATTTACTGAGTACCCAGACAGCCCAGAACTGCTGCTCGGGCAGGTGCAGGCTTCTTCCCCCACCCCAGGACTGTGGGCAGGAATGATAGCAGCTGGGATGGTAACTGTGGTAACCCCCACACACTGCATGGGGAGAAAAGCAGAGAACAGGCTGGGTCCCTACTTGTATTCTTGTGCCCCCCAAATATAGGGTATGCCTAGAAGCCAGAATGTTTTAATTGAAAAATATCTAAAGAAAAATCTTTAGAACATTAATTATGAGCTGGTTTTATTTTACAAGTCCTTAAAGCCCAAAAGCCTGAGCAGTTAATTCCAGAACCTTACAGCTCATGTGGGTAACATGAAAGTACCCTGACTCAGGCCCTCTTTATTGAAGTGGAGGGTGGGGGGTAGGAAGGGTCCCCATCCTGCTTGCACTGCCTGTGACTCAGGCAGTTACAGACCGTGGTGCTCCCTGGAGGAACGAACACACCAGGTAATGGGATTCCTGCGCCTCCAAGATTGGCACTCAGCCCTGACCACTGCCCACGGTGGGGCATCTCATTCCTTCACTACCGTCCTAAAATCCCAAACACTTGTAGAGATCCAGAAGCCAGAATAGGGCTTCTCCAAGTAGGAGATGATTTCAGCCTAACTTAATGAGAAATCACAAAGTACTTGTTCAACTAGGGGCTATGGAAATACTGGCAAGATGAACAAAGAAATCCCCCAGTGAGCCATTCTACACTGAGGTAGCAGCTTCTAGTGAATGGAATTTTTGTGTTGTCCAGAAAGTTACAATAATTAAGTCACTACAAAAGGATTTCTTTCGAGGTGTGATGGAGCCTACATCAGGAATGACTTGATTATATCAGAAAGGAGTGAAGTGGCTCCCTCTCCCTGAAGGTTACTTTTAGTCAGAGGGCTTGAGTGCTTTAAAGTTGGAAAACTTCAGAATCATCAGGTTAAGACCTCACGTTTTAGATGAAGAGGCTGAGGTCCTGAGAGGTTCTGTGACATGCGTCCCAATCCATAGAGCGACTTTGGGGCACAGCTGGTATTCTGGGTTTCCAAGGTGCTTGGCTCCAGGGCTATAAATTAGATATAAGGTTTTGTTTGTTTGTTTTTTGTTTTTTTTTAAAATATATTTTATTGATTTTCTACAGAGAGGAAGGGAGAGAGATAGTTAGAAACATCGATGAGAGAGAAACATCGATCAGCTGCCTCCTGCACACCCCCTACTGGGGATGTGCCCGCAACCCAGGTACATGCCCTTGACCGGAATTAAACCCGGGACCTTTCAGTCCGCAGGCCGACGCTCTATCCACTGAGCCAAACCGGTTTCGGCAGATATAAGGTTTTTTAAAAATTCATAATCATCTGGAGTAGATTATGGCAATCTAGTCACTAACAATCTATTTTAAAGCGCCTGTCACCATGCTGTCTTGGTGTTGTCAAAGTTTTTTTTCTGAATTAGGGAAGCCTTAGAGAAACAGTAGTCTTTGGTTGGAGGAGTCAAAATGAAGAAAAATCTTGAGAGTATCTGAATGTCTTGATAAGAGCATGCTCTCCAAAAGTGGGGTTCACGTTCAGAGATTGCAAAACATCTCTTCCTTTTGGAAGCATTAAGTTGAAAGCTGGGCTGGAAGGGGTGAGAGTTGGCCCTGGACTTGAGGGAATGTGTGCAACCTGTGCTGTGTTCAGAAGGGCAGGCAGGCACTGAGCCGAGGGCCAGCACCCTCCCAGCAGGTCCCCCAGAGCTGCCATGAGTGGGGAGTCTCAGCATTATGAGCTGTCAGTCCCCAAGAGTCTACTAGGAAAGGGATATGAATGTTCCAGAATAAATGGCTGCCTTCCAGGCTTTGGGGACTCTCACTAGCCTTAGCCATCTATTTCCTTTAAATGTGTTGAGTCCTTGAGGTGTCATGTCCAGCTGCTGCTCTTCCTCCCAAAGTCCCTCTGCCTTCCCCCCTTCTGCTCCCCCTGCGTCTGGCTCTGTTTGACTCAGGAATGGTGACAAGTCATGAGAAGCAACAGTTAGGAAAAAATACAAGACAAATGACAGGCTTATTTGACTCAGCACTGACTTTCATATTTAGGTAATTTTTACATAAGTCTACATAAACTTTAAAAAAATTACACCTGGATGTTTTGTTGCTCTCAGAGTAGGAATGGGTCTTTAAGGCAAACCTACTTTTAAAAAAAGATATATTCCTGTTCTGTGGCCTAATTAATGAGAGACAATGCTAAGCCGTAGCAAACAGAAGACTATGTTACAGGGAGTGTGTCCAGGACTGCAGGACCTTCATGCGGATAGTTTCTACATGGTAGTAGTGGGCTTTCTGTCTGGAATGGGAACGTAACAGCCTTTCGCAGGTTATCTAATTTCATGGGAAATTCAAGTATAAATAATGAGAGCAAGTTTTTTCCTATCTTCATGTATTGAAGAACTTCGCCTAGCTGAGAGAGAAAAAGAGAGAGAGAGAGAGAGAGAGAGAGAGAGGATTAAGACCAAAGTCAAGTTAGAAATTTCAGTTCTAGACTGGACTCTGCCTTGGAGTTGTTCCTGAGGTTCCATTTGAATGTATGCTGCTCAGTTTCTCTTAGAAAAGATTAAAGGGTAATTAGGCCACCAGAGTGGTGTAAAAACACCGTGTTGAAAGTGTTTTATGATCCAGAGATCAAAATTCCAATGTAGAAACCACAAACAGTTCAATCCCTTTAATTAAAAAATTGATTTCAAGTGGCAGTAGCATTAGTTGGGGCCTCAAGATGTTCAACTCCAATCTACAGTACATAGAATTCACAAAGGCTTCTGGGTTAGGAAAAAATGGGGCTTTACGAATCTGCTCCTTGGAGCGCTGTTTCCAGCTCATATCAGCTCCAACCTTAGGGTGCCTATGAAGGGAAACACGGTGTATCCAGGAACTTATGTCAGCCAAGTTCAGTATAGCCTGAAGGTGGGACCTTGAAATCGTCATCCTCAGCTCACTATATTAATAGACCAGCAGCCTAGGCCTTTCTTACAACCCAGGCATGTGCCTTGACCAGACTCAAACCTGGGACCCTTCAGTCCGCAGGCCGATGCTCTGTCCACTGAGCCAAACCGGTCTCGGCGGCCTTTCTTATTTTGTACTATTCCTGTCATGGTTGAAGTGGGTGTGCCCATTTTTTACCATGGGTTTGGCATATAGGGTATTTTTTTTTATTGCTGCTCACCTGGCATTTGGCCCAAATGCCATTACTCTTGGCTTCACCAGTGTGCACAAGTGGCTCATAAACCAAATCAAGATGTGACCAACAGCTAGATTATTTTAAAGGAGTCATATGATTCCAGGGGGAAACCAGCCTTCAGGCTGTTGCCTCACATAGGATTTGGTCTGTGGTTTCCCTATATAGTGCCAGAAAGCTGCATGATTATTAGCGGTTTGAGCCAGATACTCAGATAGACAGGCAGTCACATGCCCACAGTACGATGACCTCACTGAGCAACTCATGTTTCCTGGATGTTGGGAAATTCAGGCTAGCCGAAGAACCTTGTCCTTGCAATGTGAGGATGTTGGTGGTTGATAGTGATTCAGCAGTACATTCTAATCTGAATTTCAAAACAATTAGCCAGTTGCTCAAGGGGACATCTGAATTGCTGATCATCTACTTTCCAGAGATGGAAGTCTTCAGAGTAGCTTGATCCCTGAACCAATTCAAATAGATTAAAATTAGATCTTTTTCTGTCTCAAAGAAAATGATCTTGGATGAGTTGGCATTCCCCAAGGCACTAAGGTTTTCATTGCTCTGAGTGAATACAGCAGGGGGATTCTCCAGGCCATTTTACATGCAGCCACCTGTGCTCCCCAACTCGGCCTTTGTAACCTGCTATCATTCCTGCCTTGTCTTGGCTTCTTGTGAGTTCTGGCTTCGGGGTCTGGTCAGCAGGATTGAATCAAGGGCCTAATATTTCAGTCCCAATTTGGCCATGGACAAAGCAGTCACCTATATAATTGGAAGACATTATTAATAGGTATATCCGAGTAAAGCTTTTTCTTTTTTTCTGGGTCACTTAAGGACAGTTCCCATGGGCTTCTGAAAAACAGTTTATTCTGCTGGAGGACTATTTGCACAGAGCTTAATGAGATGTTACCGCAGAGCCTAATAGAAACTTAAAAGTCATTCACAGGGTTGTCTCATTCTCTATAGATGTATGTACTTCACTAAACATATACAATATAGACTTGGACATCTGGAGTTACTGAAAAAAAAATCAGGTGGTAATGATTCATTTTATACAGATTGACTATTTAAATATGAATTTCCTTAGTGCATTTAATCACTTATTTGTTAAAAGTTTGTCCACTGAAACAATGTCAGCTGTTGGGTGTGTTAACAGATCAGGATAATGCTCTTTAAATAGAAATGGAAACTTAGATTCATAAACATTCAATCATTGTCATCACCTCATTCATTTCACAAAAGTAAAGTTAGGTACTCAAATGAAGGGTCTTCTGGAGGAAGTATTTGGCTCTTTCCAATTAGGTAAACATCACAGTCTAACAATATTTTCTTCTTCCCCCTGCCCTATACTAACTTTCCAGTAAGAACATCAGTAAACTAAAGTGACTCCATAATTCTCAAATGAGTATTTTTAGAACTGTCCATTTATAAGAGGTACTGTCTTGAAATTCAGAATTTTCATCTACTTGGGAATTGAGTCCGCATTGCCTTGCCTTCGTCATTCATTTCTCCTAAGGGTTATTTTTTCTTCAGCCCTGACATAGAAGAGTTTAAAATGCAAGGTCATAAAGGCATTTATTATTGGGTGGAGGTTTGAAGGCTGAATGAGGGCATATACTCAGTAGCCTAAGGCCCCTGCTGAGAAATCTGGAAGCAGAGCAGTCAAGGCCAAACTTTGGGCTGCAAGTCCAGCTCTGGCTATTACTATCTATGTGACCTTGGACAATGGCTTTGAACCTGTTTGCTCCTGTGTAAAATGAGGATAGTATGTAACATGTACATCATAGAGTTGTAGAAAAGGCTAAAATAATATGTAAAACAGCCAACACAATGCATGGAACACAATGTGTATTCAGTAAATCATGGCTGTTACTGCTATGCGATAACATTATTCTTTTTTTAAAATATATTTTTATTGATTCTAGAGAGGAAGGGAGAGGAAGAGATAGAAACATCAATGATGAAAGAGAATCATTGATTGGCTGCCTCCTGCATGCCCCCCACTGGGGATTGAGCCCACAACTGGGACATGTGTCCCCGACCAGAATTGAACCCGGGACCCTTCAGTCGTCAGGCCCATGCTCTATCCACTGAGTCAAACCAGCCAGAGACATTATTCTTGAGGCCAAGTCATGCTCTTGCCAAATGTCACTTGCTATGTTCTCTAGCCCTTAGTGGATTCCTTCTCCCTCTGGCTGACAGGTGTAGCTGTTCCATTTCTATGCCTGTAGTTCAGTTAGGTGTATCTGTGTACATGAAGGTAATTTCTAATTTGGACACCAATTTAAAAATTTTTTAAGAATAGTGTGAAATAAACAAACAAAAAGCACCTTCATACTTAGCCTGGAATTTTTCCAGTGTAAATTAGTCTTGAGTCCTAAGTTATTATTTAATGTTAACATTTTTATAACTCAAACTAATTTCCTTAATATGACTATAGATAATGTTTAATTTGGATAAAGTACACATCATTTTGGATGAGATGCTGTTAAATGGCTGCATTGTAGAAACGAATCGGGCAAGAATTCTTGCCCCTCTACTAATTCTTGATAAGATGTCAGAAAGCTGAATAACGGAAGGCTCTGCCAGGAATCGTCGACACAAGAAATGAGAGCATGGAATACCTCCTAGCATTTGTAGCCCAAAGAATCTGAAGAGCACACTGAAAAATGGGGCATCTTTCCAAAGACATTTTAAATAGGTGTTTTTCAGTTCATAAATGGAAAACAACTGTATTTTAAAATATGATGTACAAAGAAAATTTTTCTCTGAGAGGTTTTATTTTCTAACCATAAACATTTCCCCCCACTTGTTTAAGTTTTATTAAATAAAATGTTTTCTCCTTCCCTTTGCAAATTAAATTCAGGAATAGCACCATGAGGTGGGAAGTGCGGCAGCTCTTTATCAGCCAATAAAAATGTAGAACTGGCAAACACACATAGCACTGTGTCTTCTGAATGTGACTGACTACTATGCTGTACTGAAAGTGCTGTAATTGATATATGAAAATTTTTAAAAAGTCAAAATTTAGGGGTGTGGGTAAAAAAAAAAGTCAAATTTTACTATGTTGTGTGTCTAATGAAAACATCAGGATTAAATTTTATTTGCCAGTTTCTAAAAGTGTGCAATCCATTTTATGGGCAGTTGGCAATTACAATGCCATCATGTAATTAACTAGAGTATGTTACTACCAATACTACTAGTAAATGGTTTAACATTGAAAGAGTCCTTACCTCTTGGGCACACCATGGCCCCTGGGCACCCAGCATGCACTGCCCTGCTGCCCAGGAGGAAGCTCAGCTCTGCCAAGAGAACAACAAAGGAGGAGCTCAAAGGGAGATCGGAGAGGTTGTTGGCTAAACCTGCTTCTGCAAAAGTGGAAACAAAGCCAAAAAAGGCAGCAAAAAGGGTAAATCTGCAGACAAAACAGTGAGTATCAAAAGGGAAAGGGAAGTAAAGGGGAAACAGACTAAGTGACTAACCTACAGATCTACCTGCGGAAAACAAAGTAAAAATGAGGCAAGTCCAGCCTCAGATGAAGCAGGAGAAAAAGAAGCCAAGAATGATGAACACCATCATATGCCATGTCTTAACAGTGGTCACTGTCTCCCTTCTTATACATTAAAGAGGAATATTTTTGTCAACTATTCTGTAAATGCACATTTTTTTAGTAGCCATAGAAACATTGATAGAGGGAAGTCCACCTCATCTCATTGTGTGTGTGTGTGTGTGTAAATGCTTACTTTTACGAGGTGAAGTCATTAGCTGGATTTTTTGGTACAACCAGGGAACAGTGGGATACTGAATATAGACTTTGATTGTCTTGGGTGCCAGCTTAACATTCCATAAACAGGGAGAGTTTTTGTATCTTACAGTACAAAGCATACCAAGTGGCAATTTGGAGTTAGTCACGCATTTTCTAAGTCTTAAACATTTTAAATTACTTCTATTCCCATATTGGTAGAATTGTTTCCTAAATTAAACTCCTTGATCTTGGCTCTCCCTGTCAGAATTTTGTGCATCTGTAACATCTGGTGTGATAGTCCAGTTTTACTAGTAACTTTGTTAATGTGCTATAAAGATCAAAATTTTGATGTAGTATATATATTAAATTGTGAATTAGTGGGACTTTGATGTAACAGCGTATCTACATTTGAAGATATTGGTAATTGATACTCTATTAAGGAAAATTAACCTCCAGTTTTTAAACTGTAAAGTCACTGGAATAACTGTTTATAAATGAATCACAACTACAAGACTTCATTCTTGGTACATATGTTAAGAATTGTGTACAAATTGAAATGTCTGTGTACTTTTCCTCAAAACAACCAATTAAATCTCAATTATGAAAGAAAAAAGAGAGCCCTTACAACTATCCTTTATGCCGTATTATAAAGGTTTTGTCTTATTAAGTGGTAAATGAAGTTTAATTCAAAGTTTAAAAATAGAATTCAAAGGTTATCTCTGTTCACGTTGGCATGAAAGGAATCCTTCTCCCCCCCTCCCTTATTCCTTCAACCCCTTCTCCTGGAATGTCTGGAAAACTGCTACGTTGCTATAAAAGAGCAGTGCTCCAATCCCCAGGCCCCAACCTTTCTTGATGCTTTTGCTGCTCAGTCAACAGCAGAACATACAGAATTGTCTTAGGTACACACACACACACACACACACACACACACACACACACACACACAACATGTTTATGTGTATGTAGGGGTGAGGGTAGGTGCAATGGAAGAAAAAGGAATATAGGTATATTAAGATATCATACTAACCATTGGAATTCCAAGAGCTCTTTCATCTACAATACTTTCCTGCAAAAGAACATAAATGGACATTCTACACAAAGAATTCATTCAGTACAGTTTGATGTTTCCTCTTGTGTGTGTGGAGGAGGGAATTTTGTTTAAATTCGAGATCTGTTTATGTATTTCGAAGTTTACATCTATCTGTAAAGACCCATGCATCGAGTCAATAATAGGCCCCAAAAGTAAACCTGAGTTGTTCTGGGCTCATTCAGGAGGCAGAGAAACACTTCTGACCTTCTGGACCAGTGAGTGGTACTTTGCATTAAGTAGTCAAGGTCTGGGAAAGCCCAGCCTAGATCAAAGTGCTGTAGAGGTTTTTTGGAGACATTATTAGTTGGGAAACACTGTCCTAGTTGGTAGGCACTTAAATCAGTAACACACTGAGGTAACTGTTGAAACTGGTACATCAGAAGTAACTAGGGAGTGAACAAAATTAATTTTTGGGTCACACCAAAATAGCACTTGAATAACATCTTGGCACAGATTTTAGTACCTTTAGAGAATAACAATTAAAAAAAATATACCAGGCAGATACTATAGGAAAAAATACTCAAGTACCTAGAATATGTGGAGACCACAGGAGATGCCACATAGCACTTGACTCATGAAAGTGAACTGAAATGTGTCTTCTTACAGGTTGTGTTATCTCACTTCAGATTAACTGCTGAACTGTACCAGCTTTAAGTGATTTCACACTCATGAAATTTATGTCTCTGATTGGTCAGCTTTACCTTGTTCTTTGACTTTTCTTTCTGCAGGAAGACTTGACATTTCGAAGTTACTAATTTTAAGACTCATCTATTTTACCTGCTCTGCAAACTTTTCTATAAACCGCCAGATAGTAAATATTTTAGGCTTTCTGACCCATATGGTCTCTGTTGTACCATTGTGGCACATAAATGAATAAGCATGGCTGTGTCCCAATAAAAGTTTACTTGTGTACATGAAGTTGAATTTCATAAAATTTTCACATTATAAAATATTTTTACTTTTTCTTTCAATCACTTAAAAATTTTAAAACCATGCTTAGCTCATGGGCTTTAAAAAAACAAACGGCATGCCATGGCTTGCTAACTCCTGCGCTAGGTTGGTCCTGAAAAAGCTAGCTATTGACAGACATTTCAAAGACATAACTAATGGCAGCACTACACACATACAGTGGATTTGAACTCTAATACTGGTATGAAGTTTTTGTCATGCACCCACGACATTATTGAGATGATCACCACCACTAGTTTTTGGATGAAAGCATAGGTCATACATTTAAATATTGCTATTATGTTTTATTTTAACTTTTATTCTCACAGAGAACTGTGAAGCTAACAATAAGGTAAATTATTTAAATGCCTCTGATTACATAGTTACAACATTCTCATGCAGAGAATAAAAACAGTACTGAAAAGATTAACTATATTGGGAGATATCTCTTCTAATATAGAAAAGGAACATACCTTTTTAACAGGTAAATAAATGGGCAATTCCAAAAAATGCTTTTCACTCCTAAAAAAGTTACTTGGCTAAATCAAGCCTAGCAACATTTCTTTCACCTAAATGCACAGATGTGATAAATCAGAGGAGTTTGGAAAATGTAAATAGAGCTCCTTCTTAAAGCTAGAAAATAAGGCCGTGGCCAAGCCACTCATTTGGTTGGAGCATCCTGTGCACCGGAAAGTCACTGATTCAATTCCCAGTCAGGGCACGTACCTAGGTTGCAGGTTTGATGCCCAGTCTGGGCTACAGGAGGCAACCATCTCTAAAAATCAATTTTAAAAAATCAAACAAATAGCAACAACAAAAAACCAAACACACCAGAAAATAGCAGCATCCTGGCGGTTTCTTTTGACACTAACACAATATTAAAAAATCAATCTTGCATCTTCGATTTACACATCCCTGCAGATACAATGGTAAGTAGCGGATCTGGTATTTAAAAAGTTAACAGAAATAAATGGGCCTTTTTTATCTAACGAATACTTTAACACAGAGCACAACAGTTGGATCACAATTAAGCATATGAACATATTTCTAGCTTTCCAGTTTCAGTAAGAATGTATAGAAAAATACATTTCTTCATGTAATAATTTTTTAAAAGAAGAAATCTCAGTAATTCAAAATGAAAAGTATCTGGTTAAGTTCTCAGGTCTGGTGGTTGTAGTAAAATAGTCACATGACACAGTTGTATATGCTGCAAACATTTTAATGATTATTATTGAGCATACATTTTGGGAATTTTTTACTTCAAACTCCAACAAGTTAAATAAATGTTTATAATATACAAAGAAAATACAACCAAAAGTAAAATTCACTTTACGTGTGCCTGGCATCTAGACCAGTGTTTTCTAAATTTTTTCCCCTTGATATATCTTCATTTTTGAACTCACAGACACACTTAAGAATTTGATCTTCATAGTATGGCATATAGGAAATAAAAATATACTCCCACCTCAAAGAAATAAAAGGTTGTGCATGATTATATGCCAAACGAAGAGAAAACACTAGAATACTCTGATAGTGCAGGCATCATTAAAATGGGGAGAGAAAAAAAAGCTTGAGTGCTCATTAACTCTCTGTTTTAAGGTAGCAGGATTTTTGACCAAGTAGCTTAAAAGCCAGCAAAACAGGGATCAGTGATGGCAACTGTAGTGTTTGAAGTACGAAATGACAAACTTTACACAAATACACTGTTAGAAATTTACCAGTGAACACTGAAGATCTCAGAAGCTGCTCTTTGGAACAGTCAAGTAGGACCACCTTATTCCAGTCACATAAGCCCTTGCAGCAACACAGTGTTCTGTGCTATGTACTTGCTGGCTGGGTAGTTAAAGGATTTGTTTTGTCATTAGCAGCTAACAAACTTATTCCACGTTTTTAAAGCCTTAACGGTGGAAAAAAAGGCAAGTGTCATTAGCGTGGAGGATCATATACTTCTCTTCACACAAACACAAGAGGCTTCACTAGTATTTTAAAAGTCTCTGATGTCTCCCATTGCACTTCAAAGCTCAATTGAGATGAAAGCCTTTTTCCATTGTAGCAGCTAGAAGGCGCTCTCTCATGATTTCTTCCGAAGAATATTCCGGCAACTTTAGATAATGCACACATGTATTCACTGATGGATAGCTTGCATCAGTAGCATCAACCTACAGACAGAAAATTGAAAATTACCAATGACGATGCTTTTGAATATTTTTCTTTCAATCCTTAAATAATTAAGTGGATTCCCCATTAACTAGAGTTTGTACCTTGCGTACGACCGTGAGTCTGGGATGCAGGTTAGCCAGTCCA